GAATGACATATTGTTGATCGGAAATGATGTAGAATTTTCTGAAAGGCATAGAGGAGTGTTTGAAAGGATTTTTTCAAAGAAATACCTCGGTGAAGCTCCTTACATATTGGCATCAAGATCTATAGAGATAGATCAAGACGCTTGATAAGACTTTAGATGAGTACAAACCTTGATAGTATTTTGAAGGAGTTCAAAATGGATCAGTCAAAGAAGGAGTTTTTGCCTGAGTTGTAAGGTATGAAGTTGAGTAAGACTCAAAACCCGACAACAACAAAAAATAGAGAGAGAATGAAAGTCATTCTCTATGCCTTAGCCATAGGTTCTATAAAGTATGCCATGCTGTATACCAGACCTATTGTGTACCTTTCCATGAGTTTGACAAGGGGGTACAATAGTGATCCAGGAGTAGGTCACTAGACAGCGGTCAAAATTATCCTTAGGTACCTAAAGAGGCCTAAGGAAATGTTTCTCGGTTATGAAGGTGACAAAGAGTTCGTCGTAAAGGGTTACGTCGATGCAAGCTTTGATACTGATCCAGATGACTCCGAGTCTCAATCTGGATACATATTCAAAGTGGGAGCAATTAGCTAGAGTAGCGCCATGCAGAGCATTATAGACATAGAAATTTGCAAAATACATACGGATCTGAATATGGTAGACCCGTTGACTAAACTTCTCTCACAAGCAAAACATGATCACACCTTAAGTACTCTTTGGGTGTTAATCACATAGCGATGTGAACTAGATTATTGACTCTAGTAAACCCTTTGGGTGTTCGTCACATAGCGATGTGAACTATGGGTGTTAATCACATAAAGACGTGAACTATTGGTGTTAAATCACATGGCGTCGTGAACTAGATTATTGACTCTGGTGCAAGTGGGAGACTGAAAGAAATATGCCATAGAGGCAATAATAAAGTTGTCATTTTTATTTCCATATATCATGATAAATGTTTATTATCCATGCTAGAATTGTATTAACTAGAAACTTGATACATGTGTGAATACATAGACAAAACACCGTGTCCCTAGTAAGCCTCTACTATACTAGCTTGTTAATAAAAGATGGTTAAATTTCCTAACATAGACATGTGTTGTCATTTGATGAATGGGATCACATCATTAGAAGAATGATGTGATGGACAAGACCCATCTGTTAGCTTAGCATATTGATCGTTCAAGTTTCATTGCTATTGCTTTCTTCAGGTCAAATACATATTCATTCGACTATGAGATTATGCAACTCCCGGATACCGGAGGAATACCTTGTGTGCTATCAAATGTCACAATGTAACTGGGTGATTATAAAGATGCTCTACAGGTATCTGCGAAGGTGTTTGTCGGGTTGGCATAGATCGAGATTAGGGTTTGTCACTCCGAGTATCGGAGAGGTATCTCTGGCCCTCTCAATAATGCACATCATAAGAAGCCTTGCAAGCAATGTGACTAATGAGTTAGTTGCGGGATGATGTATTACGGAACGAGTAAAGATACTTGCCGGTAATGAGATTGAACTAGGTATGAAGATACCGATGATCGAATCTCGGGCAAGTAACATACCGATGACAAAGGGAATAACGTATGTTGTCATTACGGCTCGACCGATAAAGATCCGTCGGACTCTTGATCCAGCAATAATTGTTATTACGTATGTTGTCATTACGGTTCGACTGATAAAGATTCGATATTAGGGTCGAACCATAATGACAACATACGTTATTCGACGATCCAGCAATAATTCTCCCTCTCCCACCTATATATACATGGGGAGGGGGCGCCTAGAAGACACACCAACAATTGTTAGCCGTGTGCGGCGTCCCCCTCCACAGTTTACGCCTCCGGTCATATTCACGTAGTGCTTAGGCGAAGCCCTGCGCGGATCACTTCACCATCACCGTCACCACGCCGTCGTGCTGACAGAAGTCTCCCTCGACACTTTGCTGGATCAAGAGTTCGAGGGACGTCATCAAGCTGAACGTGTGCAGAACTCGGAGGTGCCATACGTTCGGTGCTTGATCGGTCGGAACGAGAAGAAGTTCAACTACATCAACCGCGTTGTCAAACGCTTCCGCTTTCGGTCTACGAGGGTATGTAGACACACTCTCCCCCTCTCGTTGCTATGCATCTCCTAGATAGATCTTGCGTGAGCGTAGAAATTTGTTTGAAATTACATGCTACGTTTCCCAATAGAGAGGATGATGCAGTACAATAGAGATAAGTATTTCCCTCAATTAAGAACCAAGATTATCGATCCAGTAGGAGAACCACGCAAGACCTCGTGAACAACACCTACATACAAAATAACAAATACTTGCACCCAATGCGATCAAGGGGGCTGTTAATCCGCTCGATGGTTAATTGCAAGGATCAAGTCTGATAATGGTAGATAGATAAACAAAAACACAAAATAAAATAATGGTAAATAAATTGCAGTAGGGTATTTTTGGATTTTATATATGATAGAGATAGACTCAGGGGCCATAGTTTTAACTATAAGTTTCTCTCTCGAACAAAAAGCATATAATGGGTAAACAAATTACTGTTGGGCAATTGATAGAAAGCACATAGTTATGACGATATCCAAGGTAATGATCATGTATATAGGCATCATGTCCGAGACAAGTAGACCGGCTTCTGCCTGCATCTACTACTATTACTCCACACAACGACCGCTATCTAGCATGCATCTAGAGTATTAAGTTCATAAAGAACGGAGTAACGCCTTAAGAAAGATGACATGATGTAGACAAAGTAAACTCAAGCAATATAAATAAACCCCATCATTTTATCCTCAATGACAACAATACAAATATGTGTCTTGTCCCTTTCTGTCACTGGGATATAGAGCACCGCAAGATTGTACCCATTACAAAGCACCTCTCCCATTGCAAGATAAATCAATCTAGTTGGCCAAACCAAACGGATAGATCGGAGAGAAATACAAAGCTATAATAATCATGCATAAAAGAGTTCAGAGAAGACTCATATAATATTCATAGATAATCTGATCATAAACCCACAATTCGTCGGATCCCAACAAACACAGCGCAAAAGATTACATCGAATAGATCTCCAAGAACATCAAAGAGAACATTGTATTAAAGATCAAAGGGAGAGAAGAAGCCATCTAGCTATTAGCTATGGACCCATAGGTCTGTGGTAAACTACTCACACATCATCGGAAGGGTAGCAAGGTTGATGTAGAGGCCATTCGTGATTGATTTCCCCTCCGGCAGAGTACCGAAAAAGGCCTCCAGATGGGATCTCCGAAGAAGAGAAACTTGCGGCAGTGGAAAAACTATTTTGGGTGGTTCTTTATTGGTTTCCCAATTTTAAAGAATTTATAAAGGTGGAATTAGGTCAAACGGAGCCACATGGGGCCCACAAGGTACTTGGGCGCGCCTACCCTCCGTGGGGTCCACAAGGTACTTGGGCGCGCCTACCCCTAGCCGCGCCCAAGTGCCTTGTCGCCTACTCGTTGCACGTCTGGTCTCCTCCCGAAGCTTATAGGGTCTCTCTTGTCCAGAAAAAAAATCATCAAAAAGTTTCGTGGCATTTAGACTTCGTTTGGTACCGATTTCCTAGCAAACCAAAAACAGACAAAAACAATAACTGACACTTGGCACTAAGTTAATAGGTTAGTCCAAAAAAATATTTGCATATAAAACATCCAAGATTGATACTATAATAGCATGGAACAATAAAAAAATTATAGATACGTTGGAGACGTATCAGGCACCCCGTGCTCTTAGATCCCGTCGACGGGACTCTGGCCGCGATGAGGTCTGGCAGTTGGGGCTCTGCACGCCTGGCCTAGAGCGACAGAGGAAGCACCGCTGTGTCTGGGATTCCGACGGCGGCAAGGTCGGGCGGCTGGGCGCTCTCTCCCGTTCTGTCAAGGTGCTCTGGCGGCAACCTGCTCGTGTTGTGTCCCGAACCAGAGCGACGAGGAGCGCCTGGCGTTCAAGGCGGCCTGCTCGCAGTGGCAAAGGCAGAATATTCTTCAAGGTATGGTCGATGTAAGCAGCTAGGCGCACAAAATACAGACTGTGAAGTTTTCCTAGACCTAAACGTGCATATAGTATGAAGGTTTTTATGGTGTGGCGGAGGCCAAAGCTCGCCAGATTGCTACCATCGCCACTGCCTGCTCGTGTTGCTCGAGCAGCTGCGTCCCAGACCAGAGCGCGAGCGAGTAAGCACGGCGGAGGCGCTGCTCCGACGTTGTCCTGACGGCCACATCATCTCCCACGGCATGGTGGGTGGTCTGCACCGAGATGGGTTGGTGTGTGTGCGGGAAAAGAGAGAAAGGAAAAGGTGGAGAGAGATGGGATGGTGGGTGAATGGTGGGTGGGCCTAGGTCGAACACGAGAGGACACATACGGACGAGGATGATGCAGAAAATGTCTGGCTTGTATCCGCTTTGGACCCAAATCATGAGCAAATTTGATCATGAGTAAACACAAAACGATGAAAAAATGATATAAGTCGTTGCGTTGGACCATTGTTTTTTGTCGTTTTGGAACCAAAGAAACACACCTGGATAAAATTGGGTTGTGCGTTGGAGTTGACCAAAGGCACATATTTGCTACTACTTCTAGTATAAACCAAACATACCCTAAATCCCCTCCGTTTCTTTCTAGGATCGATCCGCCCCACCCAGTGGTGCTGGACGGCGATGCCGTGCCGTGCCGTTCGGGCTACTATGCTCGCGGCCGTCCGATCCGGACATCGCCCTTTCATTCAGACATCCCCAACGACATTCCATCGCGAGCTCGCGAAGGCAGTCTGGTAAAATCCCCATGTCCCCCAAGCTTCGCCGCAAATGGTTAAAGAGCAGTACCTTCGTGGCTTCGTCCACCTGCCCCTCCCTCCCTTTCTCATCGCGTCCGTGTCCTGTCGCGCACCTCGCTTCTCTCCGCCCTCACCCAATCCCTCCCAAAACCCTCGCCGCCGCCCCAAAGGAGGAGCCTGAGCGCGATCCCACCGGCGGCCGCCGTCATGGAGGTGCCGGGCTTCGCCGATTCTCCGTGCCGCCCGAGGAGCGCGCGGTACGCGGTGAAGGGGTACCCCAACTACGCGGAGGAGCCCGACTTCTGCGGCCCCGCCACGCCGTGCCGTCCGCGGACCGCGCGGCATGCCCGGAAGGGGTGCCTCGACTACGCCGTGCCGCCCGATGCCCGCGCCGTCCACGCGCCGTGCCGCCCACGGAGCGCACGGGACGCCGACAAGGGGTGCCTCGACTACGCCGAGCTGCCCGACGTCCGCGCCTCCACCGCGCCGTGCCGTCCACGGAGCGCGCGGTATGCCGAGAAGGGGTACCCCGACTACGCCGAGCCCGATGACTTCACCGACCCCGCGCCGCGCCGCCCACGGAGCGCGCCGCACACCGAGAAGGGGTGCCCGGACGACGCAGGGTCCGTCGGGCGCCTCGGGCACAAGAGGGACGAGGGAGGCGTCCCGGTAAAGAAGCCGGTGCTGCATTACGTAAGGAGGAAGCAGAGGGAGGCTGCCAAGGCCGCGGAGACGGCGGTGGACATGCTCGTTCCGTTGCTCCAGGGCATGGAGGTGGAGTCCGACGCGGTGGCGCTGGACGGGAGAAAGAGGCGCAGGACGGTCACCGCGCCCATGGCAACGGCGATGACTGCATGCGAGGTTTTGGCGCTGCCCAAGGACAACGAGGAGGTGGCGCCCGTGGATGGTGGGGCCGATGAGCATGGCGGTGGCGGCAAGAGCTGGAGGTTGCGTGTGAAGGAAACGCTGCGGGCTTTCAGCAGTAATTACCTTCACTTTGTGCAGGTCTCCCGGTCTCCTTAATTTTCTCGTTAACAAAAACATACTTCTGAATGTGGGCACTGGGCATATTAAGGATTGTTAGTTAGTTTCTGAAAAAACAAAAGGGATTGTTAGTTTCCTATAGTGTTTTTAAGGCCTGGCATATGGTTTGTGTCACAGGAGGAACAGCAAAGGGAGCAGGCTGTAAGGCAAGAGCTGAAGGCCTCCAGGGCTCTCAAGCGTCAGGTGTGGCATTCTGTGTCTTCTATGATAAACGAACAGTTTTAGCTGTGAAATTAGGGTCTCTTTGACCATGAAAGATTTACACGTACTGGTTGGCTGGACGTACCATGAACGCACAGTTTGAGCTGTGAAATTCTGGAGCATGAATATGAAGTTCATTCAGTTTTTTCATGCCATTAGTTGAGTAATCTCGTACAGTTGTACTGTTGGCTGTTGCACAGAAAGTAGTCCGCCAGTCATAGTGTTTGCTAATTTTCAGTTGCCTGAAATTCCATAAATCTCAGTCACCTAGAAGTTGCACAATTGGACCAGGGGCTACTAAAATTGCAGTAACATGTGCATTTTTAGTACTCTGATATTAGTGCTATCAGGTCTTTCCTCCTAAATAGCTTTGTCATCATTGTGCACATGGATGCATATGCTTGGTCTGATCTTATGTTTGTTTGTTTGGCTATTTGTTGCTAACCTATGTTGTGTGTGCTTTGTTTAATTTAATGGGCCATGTCATGTGGTTTCTACTACCAGGACTTTCCTTCAAAATGATTTATTATATGATCCTGTTTGTTTATGACCTTGTGTACACCTTGAATCCTGATTATATTGAATTTGTAGTAGCTATGTGTGCATACAGGAAATATAAGTTGCGGGGAGCTTATAGTTCCCTGCTTGTTTCCCTTTTTTCTTGATCATGTCTTCATTCTGAAACGTGTTATGCTTGTTCGCGTTAGCAGGTCTTTTCTCCTAAATATTTTGCAGTCATTGTGCACATGGAAGCATGTTTGCAGTCATTGCGCTGGATGCTGTGTGTTAGGCATTTCTTTCTAAAAGGCTTTTGTATGCTCCTATTTCTATTTGTTTCTAACATTTTGTACATCTCAAATACAAATCATATTAGTAATAGTCCATGTGAAGCGTGTGATTAATAATCGGGAATTTTACGGCGTGTCGCACTCTCCAGTGTGTGATCGACCACGCTGTCGAGTCTGCGCAGGCTGATGATGACCTGCTGACGCCCTGGCCGACATCCACTGCATCCAGCGCATGCAGGGGATTGGGCCCGTCACGCCATAGCGCAGTCCTTAATAATTAGGTGCATTTTGATACTTTTTTTTAGAGTACGCCAAGAGCGTACCTAAGCTTTATAGAAGGGAGAAATAATTACAAGAGGATTGTTCTGGCCGTCACCACAAGTCGGCGAAGCCAAAGAGACTCCCACTCCTACTCCTACCATACAGGACTACTCACACAAGTGTTGAACACTCCTTGCTCCTACCGCTAGCCAAAGTCGCAGCTCTTGATAAATCTTCGTGGAGAGTTCCTCTTCCTTGCTAATGCCATGGCCACCAAAAACTCGCCCATTCCTTTGCTTCCAAATGCTCCAACAAGTCAATAGCACCAGCGAATCAAATCCCTTTCGATGCCCCTTGGGGATCCATTTCCGGGCAGTTGGCCACCATTCCTGCAATATATCCGTCGGCGAGGGCATCATCCGCATGTCGATCTTAGCCCACCTGAAGCATTGGAACCACACTTGCCTCGAGTAAACACATTGGAGCATTATATGATTCACCGAGTCCTCCTCTTGATCATACAGGAAACATACAGATGTAGCATCCTGAAGTCCATGCCGGAGTCTACGATTGGAGGTCCAAAGTCTTTGCTGCAGCGCCAACCACATGAACAGTCTGCAGCCCAGTGGAGCCCAGCATTTCCACAGTCCTTTTGCGCATCCCAATCTGATAGGTCCCTCGTTCATGATCCGGTAAGCCGAAGAAGCCGAGTACTGGCCCGATGCCGACCACTTCCAAATAGCTTGATCCTCCAATGAGGAGTCAAGACCCACAGTACCTAATCTCTTCCATAGCTGAATGAACTGGACAAGCCCGTCTGCTGACAGTTCCCCTTTGATGCCATTAATCCAATTGCTTGAGGTCAACCCATCCTTTGCCAACCGCCGATTCACTGTTTGGGTTCGAACTTGCACTATCACCAGCGGTGCAATTTCCATAATGCGGGGACCCTGGATCCATCTATCCTTCCAGAATAGGATTTGGCTTCCATTGCCCCCCAATGCACCAAGCTAGCGAAGGCTGCTTGCATCTCCTTGTCTGCCGACATAGCCAGTCCCTGCCAAGGTTTGGAGTTATCAGTACGTCTGAGCCATTCCCATCTGAGCCTGAGGGCAATTCCTTGTGTATGCAAATTCAACACGCCCAGCCCTCCAAGCTCCTTAGGCCGTCAAACCCGACTCCAGGCCACTAGGCACTGTCCACCGTGAATCTCCTCTGAACCGGCCCAGAAGAACGCCTTACACCCTCTGTCAATGCTATCCAAGGCCCACTTCGGTGCATTGGCCACGATAAGATGATGGATAGGCCTCGCTCTAACGATGCTGTTGATAAGAATCAACCTGCCAGGCATAGTTATCAGACCTCTCGACCATCCTGGCAGGAAGTTGAGCACCGCATCCACCATAGGCTGCCACTGATTGCGAGTTAGTTGCTTGATCGAAAGTTGGAGGCCGAGGTATTTACACGGAAAAGTTTGAATCCTCCACGGTAGCGCTGCAGCAACTCTTTCGGTGTCCCCCGCTCCCGGCCTAATCGTGATCGCCGAGGACTTTTGATAGTTAATCTTCAGACCCGATGCCTCTCCAAAGATGTGCATTACTTCCTTGACAAATGCCAGATCCATGTGGGAGAACGACATCATCCGCATAGATCGATAGCATTTTGATACTATTATAGATGCTTTACATATTTCTGTCCCCCGTTACTTACTCCAATATACTTCATTCTAAAATTTTGAAATAGAATGGTTAACATGGGTCCATGCACCCCTTGTGAAAAGTAAAATTTTAAAAATAGTTCTAAAATAAAAAATTCTAAAATTTTAGGTTAACTGTTCTACTCACATGTGAAGTTTTGCAAAGAAATGACATCAGTTGTACTCTTGGCAAAAATAACATTTAAAAAATCGGACATCCAAATTACTTCAAACATGTTTTTTTAAGCGCTGACTTTGCCTTTTTTGCCCAGAATACCGTGTCATTTCTTCGCGAAACTTCACACATTGACAGAACATGGGTCCACACTCACTCTATTTTTTTCTGATTTTACTGTTCATAAGGGGTGTGCATGGACCCATGTTCCAAAGTTCAACCCCTGAGCTAATTCTAGTATCATGCAGTAAGTTTTCCTTAATTAAAATCTACATGGCTCCTCCCGTGTTGGAGTTCGTTTATTATCTGTTTCCTCAGACATAATTTACTTTGAACGGTCCTGTCGATGATTTTTGTTTATTTTCTCATACAAATGTTTGATTTTATCACTTATGGAACAACAGACTCTGGGTAAATGTGGGAAAACCAAGCCATGGGTGAAGCATTAGCTCAAGAGGGTAAAAAAATGCTAGGGACCGTAAATCGAAGGTTGAAATATAAACTTTGACCAGTTATAATCCTCGTCCCCACCGGCCCCTATCCACAAAAAAATGCATTGCCGTATTTTTATGTTATTTCTGGCAGTTTGATACCCTATGAAATGTTTGGTACGATTTCATAACCTTCTTTGCTTGTGAACATGGAAGACTAACAACCAAGATGACGAAGATTTTGAAGAAGTCAAACGGCCATCAAAGCGCCCTGATCTGAAAGCATTAACAAAGGTACCTTCTTATTAGTGATACTTAGAATTGTGTATTATAGATATTGCAAATTTATGTGAACCTGGAAAATAAAACAGATGCAAGCGACCAATGCCGTACTTTATCCAGAGAAGAGGATAGGGCATCTTCCTGGTTAGTGTTTCATTTATTTTCAAAGAGGAAAATGTCTTATTGATTGATGAAACAGTTCTTGCCTACTTTCTTACTAGCTTTATAGAAATAACAATGTGAATTCGCTCATTGTCTTCTTTCTTAGGGGTTGATGTTGGAGATCAATTCTACTCACGTGCTGAGATGGTTGTGCTAGGCATACATGGCCATTGGATGAAGGGTATAGATTATATTGGTTCAAAACATCAAGATAAGGTAAGGCTAGTGGAATGGGTATTCAAAATTAGCGGATAACACAGTAACATATTCGATATTCTATTAATGACCATGACATATTGGCCCATTAAATATGAAATCGACATTCAGCTTGGTATGCTCTTGGTTTATTTGATCCTAACCAAATTTGATATGTATGCACTTGATTCATTTCATAATTGAAACAATAGCCTGCAAAGTTTCATCCAAAAATATGGCTACCTGTGTTCTATGAAAAAAATAACAAAACGAATACAGTTATCTCTTGTTTTTTTATGGAACACAAATTATTATATTTTTTATGATTTTTTGCAGGTTCTCATTTTATAGCATACACCCACATCCATGATTTTTTTTCAGAATTTGCGGGGACATTGGGAGACAAAACCACCCTTCAAACCGTGGCCGAATAACTGCAAAGATTAGAAAAAC